CAGAATCTTCCATTAGAAATTTCTAAACGAGTCTTTGGGTTTGTTTTAAATATCAGCAAACTTGTAAATCATTTTGATAGTGCTCTGCGTGAAGGTAGTGTATAAATATGAGATTACCTCTTGACCACATGACCTGAGATATGCAGACAAATCTGGCAGACAGGATGTGAGCTGCTGACTTGATATGATATAAAACTTGATCCTGGGAAATGCCTTGGGCATAGGCATGAGGAAGTTATTGCTACTATTTTTAAATGTTGTGAGGAGCCTGTAGTGTTTGCAGTAGTGTTTTTGAAGATGTAAAATATCCTGTCTCTTTCTAAATGATGTGCAGTGTTTATTTTTGTGAGCAGTGGATGGAGCAGTGGTACAGGCTTATTCAACATCCCTGTGTATTGACTTGTCTTTTTATGCTAAAGAATCAGCACAAGACTGAGCAGATAGCTGGGGTGGTTTCAGCCATGCATGAAGTGTCCACCTAGGAATCAGAGAACCAGTTATTTTGCATTGACTACCAAGTTGTCATCAGCTGATGTTACCATTTGTGGTCACTGCCAGTACAGTTTCTGAACTGATGGACTGGCAATAGCAAACCCAGAGTGCTTCAGCCACTTAACACACACAATGGTCTCCTGACTTGGATTTTCCTATAGCTATGGGAACATTCCTCACATTTATTCAGGAGGGCCAGACCCCACACCTGTGCAGTACTGCAGCAGCCATTTGAATCCATAACTCAAGACATGAGGCCATAGTGTGTTGCTTTGCTGTCAAAGCTTATGCTGCTCAGAGGGACCCCAGATTCTGAGGAGATGCAGTAGCTGGCACGTTTCCACCTGCAGTCTGGCACTGCAAATGAGAGACTTGTTCCCTGTGGTATTACCTCAGGTACCCAAGACAAAACTAACAAGGTCTGCAAACCTTTATATTTTGTTACTGGTTCACCATATATTGCTTGAAAAGTTATGGCATAATGAAGTAATGTGTTGTCTGTGTGTGAGAGGTTTAAGTGATTGCCTTTTGCAAAATAGAGCTTGTTCAATGGATGGTAGCATCAGCTCTTCCAAGATGGAGTGGGATTATCTTTGCATTTATAGGGCTGGCTGCAGATTTATCCTTCTTGCCAGATACCAATTATATGAAGCATCCTGGGCTTGCAGATACATTTCTGTTTCCTTATTCACTCTAATTTCTTCATGAGGTCAATAGTCTCATCTCAGTGGCAGCTCCACTATTGAAGGATATGTTGTATGTACTGTGGATTAAAATCAGAGAGGGAGGCAGACATCTGTGGAGAGAAGCAAAGTCCAAAGTACATTGAGGAAAACTACCTTCATTTATCTTTGCCAAAGTACCTTTAAAGGAACCGCTTTTGAAAAATGTTGTGCATGTCTTCTTCTTCTTTGCTCCTTGAAAGATGAAGTAGTGTGATTCATTCTTCTGCAGAATTCTCTTATTGATCTCTCTGCTGAAACAGGTTCATTTGGTGTTTTCCAGCTCTGCTCTGTCCCTTCACACACAGGCTTTGCCTTGCCTACCCAGACTGGGAGTGTAAGTATTCCCGTGGCTGTAGCAATGACTAAGTGTAGGGTGTAGTCACTGTCTTGGTAATCTGTGGGCTGAGCACACCTTGCTGAGAGCTCAGTTAGATGACATAGTGGGAAAAATATGTCAGTCATATCTGTGCCATGTCTTCAGGGGTAGAAATGAAGGTGCTTTGTAATGAATCATGTAGGCATGCTTACTTGCTAAGACAATTACTTTATGAATATACCTGTTTGTTTAATAGAAATAAGTTCTCAGGTAGAAGGAGGTTTGATCTTTTCTCCACCACTTAGGTGAGATCTGTTCACAACTTGGATTTAATTATAAGCAAATAGTATGATGTCACATGAAGCATGTGAATTCTTTGAACAGGCATAGTGTTGTCTATATCTTGTAAAAATCTTGAACACTTCTTACAATTATATTAATGTTAATGTACCACCTTCTGGCCAGCTAATGGAAACACATGAACTGATCTTCAGGAGCTTTCCTGATCTGTGGCTCTCAAATGGGCGAAATCAAGCAACCTCTTTTTCTATAGTAGCTCTGGGACCCATTCACTACCATTGTGTTACATGAGAGAAGAACTCCACTCTTTCAATATGTAAAGAGAACAAAAAGCGTTTACCTCAATTTCTTTTTAGAGTAGCCATACTTACTGAAAAAAAAAAAAAACCAATGAAGAAATCTATGTTTAAGTGATAAGCAGTGCTTTTACTTGGAGTATGAAATTACTGCCTGATGTAAGATGTAACAGTTTATTCAAGACACTAACAACCTTGTCCATTATTTTCATGAGCTGCTGGAGTACACTTACATGAATTTGGAGTCTACTGTTCAAATGATAAATTGGTACGGATTGGAGACACGGGCACTTACACTTCAAAGCTGTATATCTCTCTTTGCTGGTGATTTTTGGATAGGCTGTGTGCTTGCTCTTGACTGTAATTCTGTCTAAGAATATTAGTAAACTAACTTCCAAGTGTTTACAGGCTAAAAAGTAAGCAGTGATCCATATTCAGAAAAGCATTTTCTGAATATGGATATTTTCTGCACAAATCTAATTTATCAGTTTTGTACACAATATGTTACAGATGCTTGGGGTTTTTTAAGACTAGCCAGACACATTCTGATTTCTTAGGGCACTGTATAGTACACACTGCAGAACACGTAAGGAACTTCGATAAAACTGTAGTTGCAGCCAAGATCTGTACAAGAGAAAGGGGAGTTCACTGTACACAGACTATGAATTGTTGAAATATTTTTTCATTTATTCTATACCATATCTGACGTGCTGGTGGTACTGAATTTTTTCTATGAACCAGAGTTCTAACTACTCAATAAACATAACACAATAAAAATACTGAGTGTTTTTAAATTAAATCACTCAAGAAAGTTCTGCGTTACAAACTAATTTTGTTCTCTTGAACATTTTCTTTATTCAAGGAAGAGTGAAAAGGCTCTGATTTAATTAATTCGTTTCTCCAGTTGAATAAGATAAACAGAGAAGAGGAAAATGATTGATAGCTTCCTGCATAGTGCAGTGAGGCTTACAACTGCAACTACTGCTGTTCTAGTAGTATGACACCAGTGTCTTAATGGTTAATTCAGTCTTGTTTTTTGGGAAGATGCTCTTTTCCTTCTCCAAGCAGCAAGGGGTGGTGTGACTGGAGGGGACACCAGGCAAATAATTCTGGCCAGTGAAGCACTGTAAGCACAAACACCTGAAATGCAGTAGTCCATCTTTCCTATAAACACAGACTTCTGTGTAGAAAGATAATTGATAGAAAAAGTCAAAACATCAATGGAAAAAGTCAACAAAAGCTTCTAGAGTCCTTAAAGATAGTATGTCAAAGACTGTCCTTTTCAACAGTTTTGCAATGCATGGCTAGTCTTTAAAAGCTGTCTGTTCTTGTTATTGCTTTGTATTGCTGTGGCTTGAAAAATAAATGGATATCATTCACCTTCATATATAATTTTCAATTGTAATAACCCTTAGAACTTGGTTGATGTGTTTTGTCCTTAGATCAGAAGGTTGGGTAAACTTACTGGAATGAGAGGACTAGAATATCAAGTTAGCCAAGAGATTATAATGAGCTCATGGCAGCACTTCAGCTAGCATGATTATTCCCTATTTCATATTCTAAATTGTAGCTGAAATAAAAATTCAAATTGTCTGTTATGGCTGAGGCAGAATGGAAATCAAGCTCATCTTTTTTGGGAACTGGTGGCAATTTAAATAATGACTTAAATAGTTTGGTCGTGTTGTTGCTGTAAATTACACTCAAATCACAGGTGTACAACTATACCACAGTGCTACATTTTGCATTTACTTCTTGCTTGTACTGAAGAACAGTGACTTGGGTAAAACATGGGATGTCTGGGAGAAGCAAAAAGCACAAATGCCAGCACTGCTGTGTCATGTAGAACAAACATGGTGCAGTTACAGAATATAAGTACACGCTGGCTGCTCATTTTTTAGAGCATTCTGATTCATTAGCTCAGTAGGAAAAAAACGGAAAGAAGATCATTACATTTCTTAACACTGAGAATTTGTGCTTATTTTGGAAAACACCTTATTACCACTACAACAATCCTGGAAAGAGCTCGGACTGAAATAGCGCACTGTGGTACAGTTTTCTAGGAAGTGTATTGGCAGAGCCTGAGACTAGGAAAATAGCATTCATAGGTGCCCTGTCCTGAGAGAGGATGAGCACAGCTTCCACAACACAAGTTAAAACCATGTTTTTCCTTATCCTAAGATATATCCCTAGATCACAGCTTCACTAAGAGATGTTTCAGAGACATCCAAGGACTGTCAGAGTCTTGCACACTGGGTACAACAAAGAGTCTCTTTGCTGAACACATCCTGGGGAAAAATCACACCTGGGCACCTTTTGTACTTCCATCATCCTACCCCATGTGCTTTTGTGGTAATGGCAAATGCACAGACAAGTACGTGGGGACAGTTTGCAGATGTGCACTTCCTCAATGTTCATTCCTCTTCCTACTGGATTATTCTCTGGAGCAAAGGGTATGGAGAAAAGGGAGCAAAATTGTAATAAGACTGAGGGAACATTCCAGGCAAATAACAGAAGATAACTGTAGAGAAGAAATGCATCCTGAAAGTTTAGAGAGGGAAGTTTTAAAAAATCACCGTGACATATGGTTTCTCCTTTAGGTCGTTATGTTGGGATGAGATCAGTACAATCATTGCTATCATTCCTTTAATATGTCTTTCTGGATTCCTTTTCTGTGTTCAACTGTGTATCTTTTAATTAATTCTTGTCAGACTCCTCAGCATTTTAGCCAAGTCTTTTGACTATCTAATTCTTGCCCAACATATGAATAGGCCTTCCTTGAGTGTGCAGACTCTGAGGGTTTTTTTGAGGAGTGAACTAGGTAATTCCAGAATAACTAGCTGAAATTTCCTCCCCTCCCCTCTTTTTTTAAAGACAACTCCTCGTCTCTCCAGGAAGATGAAGAGATAGATATGGAAGCTGTCAACTGGCAGCAGAACAACACCTCCATGAATGGCCATTCCTCTACCCCAACCACAGTTCGCTTTCCCAGCTGGGTGACTTTTGATGACAATGAAGTCAGTTTTGCACCACAGAGCCTTTCTCCCTTGAAAACAGATACCCCACCTGCAGAAACACAGGCTCCAGATGTTAACTTTAATCTCACTACGTCTTTAAAAAAAAGAGAGCGTCCTAAAAGTACATTGGGAGACCTCTCCAGAATTCAAAAACTAGATCTCTCTTCTTTAACCAAGCTGCCTTCTGTCGAAACACCACCATGGAGTGCTACTAATCCCTTTCTGGATGAATCTCTTCGAGATGTCCAACCCTCACCCATCAATCCATTCAGCTCATTCTTTGAGGAGCAAGAGAGGCGTTCCAAAAGCTCTTCTGTCTCCAGTGCTCCAGGCAAAAGCCAAAGAGACTCTCTCATTATTCTCCATCAAGAGCCTGATACCGTCAGTTTCCATGAGGCAAACAAGACTGTAACACACACAGATGCTGTAGAGCAGCTCAAACAGCTCCAGATTGGAGACCCAGATGGCATGAGCAGTTCTGCCTTGCCTGATGATGACCCCATGATGCCATATGATCTGGATGCAGCTTTATTTAACCTGGCACCAGCTCAGCCAAAGGATGGATGGCCAATGATGCTGAGGATCCCAGAGAAGAAGAACATTATGTCATCGAGGCACTGGGGACCAATATACGTCAAGCTGACTAACAGTGGATGTATACAGCTTTTTTATGAGAAGGGACTCGAGAAGCCTTTTCGGGAGCTCAAACTTGAAATCAATCATGAGATTTCAGAGCGCAAGCTGCAGAACTACGATGAGAATGGAAGGATACACAGCGTGCGGTTGGATCGCACAACATACAAGGAGAAAAAGAAGTATCAGCCTAAGCCGGCCATTGCACACACTGCAGAGAGAGAGCAAATTATCAAGCTTGGGACTACAGATTATGAAGACTTCCTTAGCTTCATCACTGCTGTGCAAGACACACTGATGAACTTGCCAGCTTCATCAACAGATCTGAGCACAGTGGGACTGAATTATCAAGAAGAAGAAATCACTGTGGATGTCAGGGATGAGTTTCATGGCATCTTGGCCAAGGGAGACAGTGGGATTCTCCAGCACAGTGTGCTGACTCATATCTATGTTCTCAGCTTCCTTTCTGGCCTGGCAGAATGCAGACTGGGCCTTAATGATATCCTGATCAAAGGGAATGAAATAGTTGCAAGGCAGGATATTATGCCCACTACTACCACTAAGTGGATTAAATTATACAGCTGCCGCTTCCATTCATGTGTGGATGAGGATGTGTTTAATAACTCCCGTATTATCCTGTTCAACCCCTTGGATGCCTGTCGGTTTGAACTGATGAGATTCAGGACTGTCTTTGCTGAGAAAACTTTGCCTTTTACTCTGAGGACAGCTGCCAGCATCAATGGTGCTGAGGTGGAGGTGCAGAGCTGGCTGATGATGTCCACGGGGTTCTCTTCCAACCATGACCCTTTAACTCAGGTCCCTTGTGAAAACGTGATGATCCGCTACCCCGTGCCAAGTGAGTGGGTGAAGAACTTCCGCAGAGAGAGTGTCCTGGGGGAGAAATCTTTGAAAGCCAAGGTGAACAAGGGAGCCACTTTTGGATCAACCAGTCTGTCTGGTTCTGAGCCAGTAATGAGAGTAACTTTGGGAACTGCCAAATACGAGCATGCCTTTAATTCCATTGTATGGAGGATAAACCGACTGCCTGACAAAAACTCAGGTGAGTGCCACATACCATCTCTGCAGGAATAAACTAAAACAAATCACGTATTTTGAAAGATAAGAAATACTGAGTTTAAATGGTGAGAGATGTATCATCCCCTGTAGTATACCAAAAGGCATAAGTTAGTTGTATCAAGTATTTGTCTGACCCTTCATTGTAATAGTTTTACGTATACTACAAATACAGCTAATGATAAAATCAGTTTTAGGTTTTCTAGATGCAAAAATATGTTCTGTCTCTTCATGGAGGTATTTAAAAGAGGTAGTACTTAGGGAGATGGTTTAGTGGTAGACTAGATTTGTGCTAAGTTAATGGTTTGACTTGATAATCTGAAAGATATTTTCCAATAAATGGTTCTGTGATTCTGAAACCTAGGCATCAAACATCTGTGTGCTCAGTACTGTGATTGGAAGCAAGGCTTTTTCATGTAACTTGCAGAAGCAAGATTCTATACTGTGGGGCTTAATGACAGGGTCAGATATATTGCTGTAGCTCCAGCACTGTGTTATCTTTTCCAAGCATACTGGGACAGTGCTACGTATTTCAATGCATATGCCACAGTTAATGCCTCTGAATTGTCTGATGTGGGGACTGTAGGAGAACAGAAGACATTGCTCAACCATTAAAAAAAAAAAACAAAAACGTCTCCAAACACCATTTTGTGGCTATGTTTGTGTCATCAGTACAGAGAGGGAATTACAGCTTAAACCTGAAGAGAGAATACCAACATGAAACCCGTTTTGTATTTCTATCCCAAGTCTTTGTATTTCTAGTAGCATGGTCATAATTAAACATGAAAATGATGTAGACAAGCTACTGTTCCCTTTGGCCATTTCTGGTAGTTGTTCTATTTGCTGTCTGGCATCCATAGTGCACAATAAAGCTGGACAAGTCAGGCTTATTCTTAGGTGTAGTAAATTCTACTTCTTGACCTATCTGATCTAGAATTTTACAAATGATACGGACTTTTCAGTATTAATGCTGTAGTAATGCATCTGGGTCACTGGGAGGGTTTCAGTGTTCCCTGAAGGAAAGCTCATTGTCATACCACATTTGGCACTCTCTATATGTTTTTCCTGAGTTTGAGTTATAGTGTCAGCAAAACAGTGATCCAGATATCCTAGTCTTTTGGGTCACGTTTCAGCCCAAGGACAGCAGTTTACACCCCGTGTTACCAATTTGGAGGGGTATCACTGGCAAAAGGGAAGGCTCCAGGTTTGCTGTAGACTGAGGTGGAGGAAGACAGAGCTTGGAAGCTTGAGAGAAATACAGCAATGAAAAATTCACCCCAGGCTGCTTATGAGCAATAACATGCTTATGAAGAAAATCTCAATATGCCATCTGCACCGGCTCTGGGAATGGCATGCTGTGAAATTGGGCCTTCTGTGGTATGTTCTCTGCAAAGATCTCAGTGTGCCATACAGACATCACAGCTGAGGAAACGAAAGCCCTCAGACTTTAACATAATCACAGAACATGCCAGTAGCAAACCAGGAGAAGAGGCAAACCCCTGTCTCTGCTGCCTCCTGCAAGGTGATGCTGCCTCATTGCTACTCTGAGGGAGATACTGATCTGTGCCTCTTGTTTCCTTCTTTCCCATCGTGACTCTTTATTGTATATACACTGTGACAGGGGGAAGGAAATACATTACAGAGTTGTTGCTGTTGTTGGACTCCTGCCACAGAGCATCTATCCATCAGTGTCATCATGCAAAACGCAGGGCACTTGGTATTTGTTTACATCCTGAGAGGAAGAGAGTGTCCTCACCCCTCCGGTCAGATCAGATGTTATTTCAGGGAAAGGAAGAGCCTTGGAAGCACTGTCTTGACCAAGACACATGAGGTATGTGAGAGGGAGGGAATCCCAGAGTGATGACAGGGCAGGCCAAGTAGTTTAAATCTGACCTTGCCCTTCAGGAACTATTTCTGCTTATTGGTGGCACTCCATCCCATGGTTCTCCTTTCTCAAAGCATATGGCAAACAAAGAGGTATATTAAGTGGTACTCAGAGGGATTCATTCCCACTCCCTCTTAGATTTGCCTGATGGACAACATATGCTTTTGTCCAGGTGATAGTCATGTGGGATCTAACTACCAGCCTTGTGCACCTTTGGCTGTATCCAGCCCCATCCACAAGTCATGTAATAACTCCATGTATTTGCAAAGTTGTCATAAATGATGCAGTTCTCAAGCACTAAACACAAAACTATGAGTCCACTGACTCACACTTTATGCTGTCTTACTGTGATATCTGTTACTCACCCCTAAGAGCGCGCTGGGTCTTCCATAAATATTTGGCCTGGTAATGACCTGCTTTGATGCCTGGGACTCCAGAGCAGGGGAGGAGTACTGGCATCACACTGGAACTGAGGGAAGTGCTGCAGGTGGTCACAGCCTGCAGCTCCACCTGCCTCCAGAGGCCACACAACAGGCCCACACCACTTGGGGCATATGCATTGCGTGTGTGCTCCAGCACATGTGCCTGCCTGCCAGATGTGCTCACAGGAGTACGTATGTAGGCACACGTTTTGGGACTTCCTGTTCATCCACAGTGTGTGCTCTGACACACAGTCCCTTGCAAACACAATCCCAGAACTCCAGAGGTCTCCAGACAGCCAGCTGGGCCTCCTGTGCTTCACTCCATTCCCTGAATGTGGACTGGTGCAGTCTCTGTGTAGAGTGAGGAGCATGACCCCCAAACCTGCCGTCCCCAGGAGAGCGTGTCCTGCCATAACTCACTGCTTGTATGCAGGTTGTAGCGTCCTAAACTCCCAGATTGTTAAGAACTATTTCAGCAGCTTTGCACTCTTACCTAAATTTTTTCTTTCTGTGCTTTCTAATGGGATGGGGCCCTTTGCACTCTCACTCTAGGAGACAGTGTTATCAGCACTGTCTGTAGTATTTTGTAGCCAAAGTATCTGCTTATGACTGAACATTGAAAAGCATGTGACAAATGAAGGACAGTGCATACTCTGACTGTGATTTGACCTAAAGAAAAAAATTGGGACTGGATTCTACTGAGCACGTTGCTGAAATCCACATAGCAAATATTTGCCCATTTTTACAGTTTGGTAAACTTTATTGCCTGTGACATATTTAGAATTATTATGAACAAAAGATCTGAGGAAGAATGCCTATTTGCAGGCTATTTACAGATCCAGTTGCTGCTGGCTGGGCTTCACATGTTCTTTTTTTTTTTTTCTTAAATCCACCAGTAGAATACTAGAGAAACATCCAAACAGTCTTTGATCATGGGAAAAGGCTCTTTCTGTGAAGCAGGGATGTAACATCTATGCAGAGCCTTGGATCTGGATTTGAACTTTCTCTACTTTGGCTGTGGATCCCAGGCCTGCTGCCTGAAATACTTTCTGAAGTAGATTATATCTTTTAATCCAAACATGTTGGGACATTTGGAGTGTCATGAGTCATTTGGAGCACATTCTCTCCAATCACAGTTACACTTGCATATATATTAATTATCAGATCCTTGATTGTCAGAACAAACTGGTGGTAGCTCAAGGAAACAAGAGGTGCAAAACAAAAGTAGTCTGTGGATTCCTCCTGATTTTACTAAGAAGGGTGCCTCTTTCTAGAGAAAGAGCTCTGAATAAGCCTGTTGAGCAGTCTATAGAGGTGGTGCCCTGTAAGCCTCATGTCCAGAACAGTAATGAACACTGACGGGCTAGGTAATTTTGCAGTAGATTCAGTGGATCAGTTGCTTTCTTAATCTGTTCACCTTGTTATCTACCACAACGAGCTGGTTTAAATTAATAACGTTCATAATTTTTATGCAATTGATGAGGGGGAGGGGATGTTACCAAGTATCCAGTTGAAATTATGAAAATTATGAAGAGTTGAAAAGCTCAGCTCTCCAAAGCACCTGGCCTGCAGTGTGCTCAAGCCCAGTTGAACACTTCCCAGTGATACCTTCACACACATTCCCCCAAAAGCAGCTGAGCTTGTGCCAGCTCAGGAGTGTCACAGCACAAGCTGAACGTTCTGCAGCTGTGATGTGGCCCGTACCAGGGAACAGAGCCACTCCTCCTGGGCTGCTGGCATTCTCCAGCTGGAGGAGGGAGCAACCCACAGCAAACTAGAGAGGAAAAGCATATCAAAGCAGGTGAGCAGGAAGGATTACAATGAGGAGTCTGCTGAAAGTGGCACAGTGTGAGGGAAGAGCCATGAAAGGATGGGGGAGCCTGAAACTGGGGGTTGGTTGCCAGTACTGAGTGCTGAACACAGATTTTCGGAGCCAGTTTTAGGCATCTTCATAATGCAGTACCAGAGAGCAGTGCTGTGTCACCCAGGGGCCCCGTGTCACATCCTGAACTGCGTTGCCACCATGGCTGTGCTCACCACAGCCACGCTCAAGAACTGGCCAGGAGCAAAAGCACTGCAGTGCTGGAGGGCACAGTGACCTCCCTGAGAGCTCCCTGAGAGCTCCTGGGGCTGCTGCTCTCCTGTGGTGGGCAGGACCAGCAGGAAAGCCTGCTGTGTACCACAGCTCTTGATCCAGAAAAAGAATGTCCATCTATGAAAAGCCAGGCAGGGCTGTCAAACAGAGATCCTGGCTCGCTCTAGAACCAGGGAAAATGAGTCAGTACTCTGCTTGGGATAATTAATCCTGATGAAAAGCAGATGTATTTTCAATGCTTGCAAGAACTTGAGCTTCTGTATCTGCTTGATAACTGCACCCATTCGTTCATAACTTGTCTCCAGCTATGGTGCTGGATATCCTTGGGCTCTGCTAAACTGCACAGCCTCTCACTGCATTTGCTGCACACACATTATTTTACAAACATTCCAGCAGTGAGGGAACTTTGGCTAGACCATTTTGAAATATGAGGCTGACTCTAGATGAAATTCTTACCCAGACTTACGCCGAGTAGAATTTTTTTCCCAGTTCTATTTCAGAAGTCAGGTGGGATGCTGCAATGCCTAAGCCCTCTAAAGACTGCCTAATTTCATCCTATTGAGACAAGTCATACTTCAAAATCCTACATCTTGCTTTTCAGGCTTCAGTTTAACAAGGCTGACTTTGGGCTAAGCAGGTGTATTCCAGCTTTTCCCAGTGGGAGCTTCTGGGCTTTCCCCACCCAGTTCTCTTTACTTTGCATTCCTCCTTCCTTTTCTCTGTCCTCTACACCTTGCTGATCTGCATGGAGAAGAATTTTCCTAGTGAACAAGTGTTCAGGAATCCTAAAGCCTATAATAAAGGCAGGCAAAGATTCCATTCATTTACTTATACATTCATTTACACATACATAGATTATGGGATGATTTCAAACAGAAAGCCCTGTGTTGCTGTGAAGGCTTTCATCCTCATTTTGCAAACAGAGAAACTGAGGCAGAGACATTAAATTACTTGCTCAAGAGCTTAAGTAGTTGGCAGCAGTCAGAGAAAAAGCAACTTATTTTGACTAGAAGTCCCTGCTTTAATTTTTAAACATCACTGCTGTCCAGGAAAACAAAGAAGAAAGGTTATTTACATATGACAGAGCTAAACATTACCTCCTCTCCTTGCCATCCTTAATGACTAGCCACCTTGTCATGGGTTCCAGTGAGGAATAAATTGTTGTTTTGAAGCTTTGCAGAAATCTGCTTTTTGAACACAAGAAAGTTATTTAACCTTATCCAGTACATTTTCTTCTGTTAAAACGGGGGAAAACAATTTCAAATAAACATCAAATATTTTCAAATTCTGTCTTTCCTTACTGTCATTTCACAGCATTTCAGAAGGATGTGCCACAATGTACTTAGCATGTGAAAGACACTGAGGGAATCAAGAGGACAAATACTTTCACCCTACTGTGCTTGATTTACTTCTTGTATTTTCACCCACTAAAAGCAAACTAGAGTGATTAGCAATCCTTTTGCATTTTAATTCCTTTGGTAACTTTAGCCACAGTGAAGCAGGTAAGACACTTGCTATGAGCTAATTCACCTAGGGAGATTCTTGGTTTCCTGCAGTTTCATGATGCTGCTTTCTCCTCAGCGTTGTGTTTTGATTCATCTGACACAACTCTCATGACTGTTTACTCTCTTTTTCCAGCTTCTGGCCATCCTCACTGCTTTTTCTGTCACCTAGAGCTTGGCTCTGACCGGGAAGTGCCTTCTAGTTTTGTCCGCTATGTAGATGTGGAATTTGACATGCCCACCACTTCTGCGTCCAAAGCCGCTGTCCGCTCCATCTCTGTCGAGGACAAGACCGATGTCAGGAAGTGGGTCAACTATTCAGCACACTACAGCTACAAGGTAAAACTGAGCAGCGCTGATCACCATGGTTACTTTGTGTGCTTCATTGTCTTGAAAGTATTGGCGGACAAAGAAAATACCGCGGACAATAGAGGTGGGAATTTGGTTCATGCCAGGCTGTGTGCAGTAGCTACCCATGTGCAGCTATTGATTCATGGCAAATAAGCAGTGGATTATCTCAGCAAAGATGGAATAAATTTGCTTGCATTTGTCTGTGGAAGAGCGTGCACACAGCCAGCTCCTGGAGATTAGCTGATAGGGAGAGTTTGAGCAGGAGTTCTGCTGCTCTTCCCTAGTGGGAGTGCTACTGTGGGAGTCCTACTGCAGACAAAAGAATCACATTTCTCTGCTTAAATACTTCTTTCTTCTGCCTGCCCTAAGGAGAGGAGCAGATAGGAAAGTGCACTATGTATGTACCTGCCAAAATATCTCAGTAAATTTGCATGTTACCTGAATACTCAGCAGAGAATTTGGCATCCTACATTGCTTTCTTTGAGAGCAGTGATAAAGAGATTCTGAAAATATTCTCATGGCAAATATTTTTACTGATAATTATAATTTTAGTAGTAATTATATTTTTAGTAGTTTCTTAAATTCACTGGAGATAATATTTCTTAAGTATCTCTTTTAAGAATTAAAACATTGGATTATTCCCAAGTTTTTGGAGATGTGGAAATTTAGAACCCAAACATAGATCCCCTTGGCCCTATCCCAATCCAAAGTGATATTTGTAGGCCAAAGCACCTCTGAGCCTGAGGACAGCAGGGAATGTGCTGAGATTTGGGGTAATGTTAGGCACTGCTTCAAGAAGCAGGGAGTTGGATTTGATGATCCTTATGGGTCTCTTCAAACTCAAGATCATTTAAAATCTCTCTTTGCTTTATACATGAGTCTTCTCAGAATTTATAATTAAGGCTGATTTTCTGCTGTCACTTAGGATGCCACCTATCATCTGCAGATTTGGTTCTGAGCTTGAATTCAGAGTACAGCTGGGAATGGTAATGAATATAAAGTCATGTGAGTTCTCTGCATGACATTATCTCTTTTGGAAATTATTTCATGACACTGCTGAATTGTAGAACTGCTTAGATTAGGCTGAAAATCCTTATAGTAAATAAAATCCAATTTTCCCTGATCCTCAGTCTGTTTTTCCTCGCAGCCCTCTCAGGTCACCAAGAGTTTCTTCGCCTGAGCACAAGAGCACCACAGAGAAAGATTTGTGAATCTTTTGTTTTCCTTTCTCATTAGAAATATTCTTCCTCTTTTTCTTCTACCAGGTCGAAATAGAGCAGAAAAAAAGCTTGAATGAGGATCTGAAGGGAGAAAGGACTGCAGATGTCAATGAATGTGCTACACAATAAAGGAAGATCAGTCTGCAAGTACCAAGAGGGTTGGTCAAATTAAAGACCTGGAAGAAAGGACTTGCAGGGCTTGGGTATTTTTCTTCTAAAAAATTAGGGACTACTACTTTTAAAATAATGCTCTGAAGAGTATAATTTTTTTATAATTCCATACTTTGAGAAGAATGTGGTCAGGGTTTGTTTGGGGGGGATCCACGGGTTTTTGCTGGAACCAGTGCAGTTGTACAGTAAAGTACAAGCCTGCCTTTTCTGCCTTTTCACCATTTAGGTTCTGCACTCAAGTATGGTCTGGCAACCATCTCAGCCACACCAGAAAACAGCCTTTATCTCACAATCTTGCCCTCCCACATTAAGCATTTTGTTTCAATGCCTTTTGGTTTGGCCTTTGACTGAATTGCTTCCTTCTGAACTGCCAAATAAAATTCAGGGATCGAGTGGAAAATTATATAAAATCTCCTTTCTGAAATGGTCCACAGAATGAAAAACCTGGGCATCATTCTGAAGAATCAACACACTCTGCATCTTAAACAAAGAGAATGGTCTCTGTGTTGAAGGAGATGAACTACGGACAAGACAGCTGATCACAGAGCTGTCCCTCTGTTCAGCCCTTCCTGTCATCCCTGGAGTGACATGTCACTGTGCACATTTTCACAGGGTTTGCACAAGTTGCAAGAATGCCTCTGCGATTTCTTAAAATTCTTACTTTGTAGTCTGAGCTGTTCTGGTACCTTGACTGAACATGGTCGTGGCTGCTAGTAATAGGGAATGTGTGTTACAGTAGTGGAGGTACCAGAGGGACTTTGCTAAGATTAGATCATTCCTGTCTAGAAAGATATTTAAGGGAAAAACATGGGGGTTTAGTTTTGGGTTTGGGGGTTTTTTGTATGTTTTCTTGGATGGGTAAAATGGGTGGTAATTGAAAATGTCAGAACACAATTACTTTAACAGAAAATGTTGTTTGTTTTCCTGAAAATCCTTGGAATTCTGTCCAGCACAATATTATTTTCATGTTCTATCTTGAACCAACAATATAAGTAACTTGTATCTTTATAATACTCCCATTAACTGGGCTCCAAAATCTCTTTCCAAAAATTAACAAGCTTCTATCATGGAGATTTTTTTATCCCCACTTACCTGGAAGTAATAACAAGTCTTAAAACTTCTTTCTAAATAAAAATCACTCATTCACACATATTTTCAGAGAAAACAGTGTTAAAAGTACCCATTTTTAGTTGTTTCTATGGCTTGTGTAATATTCTGTCTCGTAATGTTAAATGTAAAGTAAGTAATTTATTAAATCATTTATCTTTTGAAAGGTTACTACTGACTATAAAATACACATTTGGAAAACTTTGGCAATGTAATTTAAAATCATAATGAATTAAAATGAAAGCTTTTTTATAAATTTATTTCATTTTACATTTAATATAAAAAAGTTAATACACTCTTGACTTACCACTTTCACTGTGACTCCTATAAAAATTATTACAACATTAAAATCACAAATAAATAATGAAATTAATTTCATTGAGTCTGAAACTGGTAGTTGTAGAATTTAAAATAAATTGTAGGGAACTTTTAAATGCCTTTTTTATATGCACCTACATTTCAAGCGTGCATCACCCTAGTGACCCATACTTTGACAGGTACACCACTGTAAATGGTGTACATGTAAATGGTGTAAATATGTAAAGTCTCAATCCTTGTAGGACTTACTGACAAGCCTGTAATACTCCACTGCAGGTAGCCCTCTGGGCCCAGGATGCTCCTTGGAGCACACCAGTCAACACTAAGCATTTGCAACATCTCTCTGTAAATGTAAGAATACTATTAACTTTTATTAAGAATTTTGAGATCAATGGATTAAAATTTCTGGTATTATTAATGATAACTTGTATACTTGGGAGCACAGGGCTGAATTTGTGACTGATTCTCAGCTCTGGCACAGGCTGGCTGTGATGAGTTGCATGGCAACTCCTCTTCAGAATTCACTCCTGTTCAAAGGCAGTCAAAGAATTTCTGGGTGGTCTTCCTGCTTTTCACTGCAGCTCCTAATGTACAGTTTCTGAAATCTCACCATCAAGAAATAAAAAAAAAAAACAAACCCAAACAAAAACCAAGCTGAAGCAGTGCTGAGATGTTACTGAGAAAATGTGAGAATGTTTTGTGAAAGAAATGGAGACATTTCTACTCTGACCTGCAGGCTCAGTGTCTGGTTTTTTTGCCTATTGCCCCATAGCTCATGGAAACACAAGTAAGGCAAGTTAGCAAAGTTATGTTGTACACCTTAAAAGGGGAGAAAATAAAAGGAATATAATTTTCCATCACTGTTGAATTGTTAAACTGTTCAGCCTCTGTCATACTTGGGCCACAGAATATTCTGTGTTCCAGTAACTGAAAGATAAAAATACCGGACCTTTATGGATTTACTTAATTTCTCTACCACTTCATCACTGTTTTTTTGGGTTTTTTTAAACTCAGAATCAGTGGATGAAAAAAACCTGACTCTCATCTTTCTTGTGTAGTTGTACACAGAAGTATTTCTTCCAGTCATCATGAATTTATGCAGGCAAAACTGGATAAGTGTTGCGATTTATATGAAAGTTATTTTAATCATTCTTATCTCTGGAGAGATTTTTTGATGTACCTGCCACTGAATTTTCAAGTGTTAAGGATGAATACCCCAGCCAGAATCTCAAAAGATTTTAATTTCCTTATTTTCTAAGGACTGGACTAAGCAGTTTGATTTTTCCAAAGAGTGCTAATAACCAAAATTTTTAAGAAGTCTATTGTTGGTGTCACCAGGTGTCTCAACTGAATTATTTTTTGAGTCCAGCACCATTACAAGCATTGAGAATTTGAACACTGGGATCCTAAGTGCCCTTACTGAGGTCTCCACTGTTTTTCATTGATTAAATAGTGCCAATTTTTCAGTGTTACACACTGTGATATATGTACTTTATGTACATATACTCTTCACCCATGGGAGTATAGTAGTAATTTGAACAGACTTGATTGGAGTGAAGGGAAAAGATCTGAGAAGTTTGTGAGTTTGAAAGTAGCAGAAATTATTTAGATACACGCAGTGCCTGTAGTGGGGATTTTTATTTGTTTTTTAATCATGCAGAAAAATATCTCTGACTAGTTTCAGATTACTGCTTCTTTTGAGAAAGATGCAGTTACTGTCCTTTGGTATATTTGAAAGCTTTGTAGTACTCAAACACTCCATGCAGGAAATGTGCCTTCAAGGTAAGCATACCTTTACTCCCTGAAGTGATTACCACTTTCAGTCCTGTTTCTATTTCTCATTAGGGTTTTAATATTTGTACTGTGGTAAGACTTGAGGTATTGTATGGAATTTTGCCTAGAAACATGAAGTGTCTTTGATCACAAGGAGTAAAGATGAACAATATCTCCAGGCAGCTGAGGTTATTTTAGTTAATATCTCTTTCATTTATTAACTATGGACACTCTGCTAGAAAAGGAAAATGGGTGAATTCATCTGAGAAATACTAAAACTGACTGATGTTATTTTGGTTCTTTTATTTAGATTTAAATTTAGTCATCCTATGAAGGAGTCAGATAGAGCAGTAACATTATAAACACTGCAGAAATAATCTTCCTGCTCTGGTGGGTTGCTGGCTGACAGTTACTTGATAGGATGTCCAACATCTGTCCACATTATTTGGTAGCTGCTAAAACTCCCTCTTGAGCAGTCACCTCCCAGGATAGACAGCAATTGCACGAGAAAGGGCATGAAAGCAACTGGAAAAGGTGTATGAAGTGCAGCCTGGAGGTGCTTGCTCTTTTGCTTGCCCAAAATTCTCAGTCATGTCCTTGGCCCTTCAGTGCACTAATCAAGTCCTTGATAGGTCACCTTTGTTCCAGTTGGTGAAAAATTTCTTTCAGTTACTCTTAACAGCTCGCGTGCATAGCTGTATTAATCTCTAGAACTGACCAACACAAGAATTTACAGCACACAGGGATCACTTAATGAAGTACTTACCCTCTTCTGCCACTAACATTAAATCTACATCATGACATGTCTAAGATACAAAATTTTGTGTGATAACATACATAGGTCTTCCTAATGTTCCTGTTTTGTTCAGTCAGCCAGCCACCCCTCACACATCTAGCCATCCATCCTCCCATCCGTCCTACCCTCCTTCCCTCTCTCTTTCGTACTTGCAATTTATTCTTTGCACTATTGACATTGATTGGTTTAATTGTTATTTTATAACATGTTCCTACCTTCTTATTTTGTAAAATAAGTCTATACACTGGCTAACTTCATAGAAGTGGTTTATTTTATTTCTTTATATCAGTTGAAACGGGATGTCATATTTTTGTTTAAACTACATGAAAATTTAAATAAATGTTAAGATGAAACAGCATATCCACACTTTCACTGTGAAATTGAAGTCGTATGTGCTGTATATTCTGATAAATCAGAGATCTTGAATTCAGAAGAGGAAAAGGAATATTTTGAATGGTATAAAGGACAACATAAATTAGAAGTTTAGGGACTACATACGGAAAAGAAATAACGTCATTTGATCAGGCAGCTTGAACAATAGACTGCAAGGGAAATGGAGCAAGCCTAGAGCCTGAGCCACGTAACAGTTTGAAGTAGTACCAACATAATATGGAAGATGGTCCAGCATTTGGAAACAAAGTAATTGAGGATTGTAGCCTCTGCTCAGTGGTCTCTTCTTTGACCACTAAAACCAGGAGTACATGAAAGAGTGAGCAGAACGTGTTTGCAAAGCAAGTATCAGGTCTAAGGTACGTAGAGTCCTCGGCTATGATTCTCTGAGTTCTTTCAAAGTTCAGTAAGCCATGTGTCATTTCATACATCTTTCCACTTCACTCAGTCACTGAGACCCACTTCAGTCTGTTGTTTTTCTCAAAAAGCATTCCTTGTATCAGACTGAAGAGCTGGGCACTTCTCTTGGCCAAATAAAATCAGATACTCATCATAAGTGCTGTTCAGAGTATTGCTCTGAGCTCAGTACAACTGACAGTAAGTCAACCATTTTACAGTATCAGAAAATGGAGGTACACAAGGTACAATGCCTCGTATTTGTTATTCAACAGTAAATCAGGTCAGCCAGAAGAAACAAAGAAAGTTAAGATTCAGCAGCTGTTAGTGCTGAGTTTTTTACTACAATTCAGATACTCAGTGACTTTTGGAAATGAGCATATAAAATTGGGAGGGTAAGATTTTATTAACCCTGATAGCTTGCTAATATGCATAATGTTTTTAAAAAGAAAAACTTAGAGAAACACAGGACATTTTAAAACCAAGGAGCTCAAAGTTCTTTGGCAACAGTGTAGTCTTTAGAGGTAAGCCAAAATAACACCCTACAAGAGATGGGGAGGTCAGAGTGCCAGTGCAATGTGTACCCAAACAAAAGACATCACTAGAGGGAGATAGCACAATTTGGAGAGGAAAAACCCACAGTTTTCTTTCAGTACTCTTAGTTGCCATGACTGCCCACCCTGACTAGTCCAGATATGTTGTAAATGTTTAAGACAAAAAGTGCTGAAGGTCAGCTGGAGATGAAGCAAAAGATGGAGGAGCAGCCCACTGTTTCAGCTTAGGTGCCGGTGTGGGTCACAGCAGATGTGTCTGAAACCTGAAGTGCACCAGCCCCAGAAAAAACTCTTGTCCTCTTGGTCACAGTATCAGAAGCCTAACGGCAACTGCTGTATATAAAATAGTAATTGGAATAGTATTTTATACACGAGCTATGAAAGGTGTCTTTCTCAGCTCTGAACAATGGGACAGAGGTGACTGTAGTACTGCCTCCAGTAGCACTGGGGTAATGCAGCAAGTGCCAGACACATGCTGGGGTTCAGGAGGTCTGGGCAGACTGGTCCTTGCCCACTGGGGGCCTTCTGCAGCCTCACAGTTGTTACTACCCCAGGGGCTGTAGATAAACTGGGAGCAATCAGCTCAACCTAAAGAGCTTTTGAAGGAAAAGTTGAATACAGGCTGAATACAGCTGAAAGTAACTTCTTAAATTGGGAGGCTCTTTTGTAAAGGTTTTCCTGATGCAGGACTGAAAAGGAGAGCTCACCTCTGTGGAAGCAAACAAATTTCTTAGGGCATGGTCAGTTCAGTAATTGTACTAATACAGAGAGTCCTCAGATTGAAAGGGAATGAAGTGGGAAAACCTCGTGTCAGTGCACAGATGCAGGCAGAATAGCAGAGTTCTGACCTCAGGCCAGCCAAAACAAAAGCAAAACTGCAGACAGTTTCCAACTGAGATTAGGAGTTCAACTGCTATGGCATCCCCTGTGCCTATCTCCCTATTATCCAAACCTTGTTTCTCACTGCAGCAGGCAGCAGGTTTGGTTGATTTTTTCCCCCACACTCTTACAGATATCCTTTGCTGTGGCTCTCAGGAAGTGACGGTGCAAGGGGAACACCCAGGGAGAGCTGGTGGCAAAATGGGATTTGCTGAAGTTACAATCTCAGCAGAGAAAAATGTGTACTAATACCTCATGAAATCCTGTGACAAGTCAGGAACTATGCAAAAAAAATGTGACTTGGGGAGTCCCAGTCTACAAATACTGATCTTGGGAACAAAGGAACAAATGCTGTAAAAATTAATATGAATATTACAGAAGACTGGAAGGCTTTTGAACAAATAGAATTAGATTTGGATCTGAACCACAGTGTCAAAATCAGCTCTCAAATTGTTCAGGGCCAGCAGACACAGCATGATGAAATTGTGAGTTGACTGACAGTTCTGCTTGGTGAGTTGGGGTCCGTGGCATGGGTGTTAGCTGGAGAAATGAACCACAGATGGGAACAAGGCACTTAGCTGCGTGCTCGCACTCCGTGGGCTCTCGAAGGGAAGGGACTGTCGCTCTCTAGCGGTCACTGCCAGGTTCTTGCCTGGACTGCTGGCCTGCTGAACCAAGCAGCCTCAAGGAATCACAAGCCTCACCGGTTTGCAGGACTATGAACTCCATACAGAATTTGGCCCGTTGTAAATCAGTTGGATCTCAAAACTGGGTGTAAGAGTGACTACCTCAGCTGATTTCATGTTTAGCTGAGAAAAGGACAACAGACAAATTAATTTTTCAGTGATGTTGACTA